TCAAACTTAATGGCCTTCAATCATTAATACTAGCATCAAATAAAAAATTTTTTAAGATTTTTATTTATTTATGAGAGACACACACAGAGAGGCAGAGACATAGGCAGAGGGAGAAGCGGGTTCCTCAAGAGGAGCCTGATTTGGGACTTGATCCTGGAACTACGGGACCACACCCTGAGCTGAAGGCAGACGCTCAACCACTAAGCCACCCAGGTGTCCCTAAAATAAATGTTTTTCAAAACTATCCAGTATCGTGCAGCCCGGGTGGCTGAGTGGTTTAGCGCCGCCTTTGGCCCAGGGCCTGATCCTAGAGACCGGGGATCAAGTCCCTAGTCAGGCTCCCTGCATGGAGCCTGCTTCTCCCTCTGCCTGTGTCTCTCCCTCTCTTTCTCTCTCTCTCTCTCTCTGTGTGTGTCTCTCATGAATGAATAAATAAAATCTTAGAAAAAAAAACCCATCATGTATCTAGGGACATATCAAACTCCTAGGGAAAAAAATATCAAATACGTAGGAATAAAATAAGTGAAATAAATCTTTATTGAAAACTACAAAATATTACTGAAAGAAATTAAAGGACATATATATAAAGATATACCATACTCATAAACTGGAAGATTCAATATTGTAGAAATGTCAGTCTTCCCAAATTATGTATAAGTTCAACATAATCACAGTAAAATCACAGAGTTCTGATGGAAATTTACAAGCTGATTCAAAATGTTAATGAAATGCAAAGAATAATAAAAACAGCCTAAATCAGTATTGAAGAACAAAGCTGACAGACTTATACTACCACTTAATGATTATAAAGCCTACAGATAATGAGTTTAGACACAAGGATAGACAGAAAGACCAATGAAACAGAGTCTAGAAATAACCCCGAAGGATGCCTGGGTGGCTCAGCGGTTGAGCATCTGCCTTCAGTTCAGGTCGAGATCCTGGGGTCCTGGAATCGAGTCCCACATCCGGCTCCCTTCATGGAGCCTACCTCTCCCTCTGTCTATGTCTCTGCCTTCTCTCTCTCTGTGTCTCTCATGAATAAATAAATAAAATCTTTAAAAGCAAAAGAACCCCAAAACTAATCAGTCACTTGATTTAATGACGAGATTATAGTAACAGGGAAAGGATGGTCATCTTAGTAATGGTTCCAGTCAATTACAAATTCATAGAAAAAAATAATCAACCTTAACTCCTCACACTGTACACAGAAGTCAACTCCAGCTATACTTTACACCTAAATGTTAAAGGTTTAAAAAAGTAACTTTTAAAGAAGGAAGCAAAAAAGAACATCTTCATGACCTTGCAAATGGCAAAAAATAGACAAAATTTTCTTAAACAGGATATAAAGAAAAGCATTGGTAATTGGATATTGAAGCTAAGATTTTCTGTTCAGTAAAAAGCAGGATAAAGTGAGGGCAGCCCGGGTGGCTCAGGGGTTTAGCGCTGCCTTCCACCCAGGGTGTGATCCTGGAGACCCAGGATAGAGTCCCACGTCGGGCTCCCTGCATGGAGCCTGCTTCTCCTTCTGCCCGTGTCTCTGCCTCTCTCTGTCTCTTATGAATAAATAAATAAAATCTTAAAAAAAAAAAGCAGGATAAAGTGAGCAAATAGTTGAGTCATAGAATAAGTAAAGATATTTACAATCATATACTCAACAAAGAATTTTTTTAAATTTTATTTATTTATTCATGAGGGACACAGAGACAGAGAGAGAGGCAGAGACACGGGCAGAGGGAGTAGCAGACTCCATGCAGGGAGCCCCAGGTGGGACTCGACCCCAGGTCTCCAGGATCACACCCTAGGCTGAAGGCGGCGCTAAACCGCTGAGCCACTGGGGCTGCCCTCAACAAAGAATTTATATCAATAAAATGTTATGAACTCTTATAAACCAACAATGAAAAGGCAGTAAAAACTATTTAAAAATAGACAAAGACAATATCTAAATGACTAAGAAGCAAATAAGAAGCAGCTCAATTCCATTAGTCATTGAGAAAATCCAGTGTAGTCATGCTGCTACACATCCAACAAAACAATTCAAGTAAAACAAAACAGAAAATAACTTCAGAAGGACGTGGGGCTGGTGGAACTCTCATATACTAATGATGAAGAGTCTTAATTGGAACAACCACAGCTGCTGAGTAATATCCTTGAAAGCTAAACATACGTATACGTATTCTATGACCCAGCAATTCCACTCCTAGGCATCTACTCACTAGAATGCACACCTATATTCACCAAAAGACATTTATGATAATGTGTACATTAACAGTAGAATGGACTAATGTATTGTGTTATAAACATACAATGGAACAATATACTGTATTAACAATGATTATATAAGCAACATTTTTGATGAATATTAAGCAAAGAAACCAGAAACAAGAATATAAAACTGTTCTTTGCTCTCTTGGAATGAATTTCCTTCAGAGTAGTGTTCCCTGTGTTCTCCTCTGCCTCTCCATGAACTTTTGGACGGGTAGGTCTATCTGATCCCAGAGTTCAGTATAAGGACAACCTAATACATTCTGCAGAATCAGCCTTGTAAATGATAAAAGTGATCTTTTGGGGGACACCTGGGTGGCTCAGTGGATTGAGCATCTGACTCTTGATTTTGGTTCCAATCATGATCTCAGAGTCATGGGATCAAGCCCCGAATCAGGCTCCATGCTCAGTAGGGGGTTTGCTTGAGATTCTCTCTCTCTCTGCCCTTCCTCCACCGCCCTCACCTTTCTCTGGGTCTCTCTCTCTCTCTCAAAAAAAAAAAAAGAAAAAGAAAAAAAAAAGAATCTAGGTTTTATATATACTTGGAAGGCACAAAAAGCTCTTCTCTATTTTTTAAAAAATTTTATTTATTTATTCATGAAAGACACACAGAGAGGAAGAGACATAGGCAGAGGGAGAAGCAGGCTCCCTGCAGGGAGCCTGATGTGGGACTCCTTCTGGGATCCAGGGATCATGACCTGAGCCAAAGGCAGAGGCTCAATCACTTGAGCCACCCAGGTGCCCCTCTTCTCTATTTTTGTTTTGTTTTGAATGAGATATATCACACATAGACAAGAGCACTAAATGTATTTAAGTAGGAGAATCATCAGGGCTTTAGAAAGAAAACTTGAACTGCGCTTAAGAGGTTGTTCAATATCCTGACTTCTCTTCTAGCTGGTATACTTACAACTACATCCCCAGTGCACAAACCCGAATAGAAGTACAGTAAATACTTACTGATAATACAGAGAACACTGAAAGTGTCCCAATAAGGAATAAAGGCCTCAACGATAGAAGTGGCCAAGAAAATGGAGAGCTAGGAGTGCTCAAATTTCAGAATAAGAAATCAAGAAGAGTGAGAGGAAGGCATGAAAGATGGCCGGATTTTCCATTTTGGGCGACCATGTAGATGTAAATTAAACCAAATATGTAATGCAAAAAAAAGGACCAGGTTTAGGAAAAAAGAAAACAAATTTGTTTCTACCTATTAGATAACATGAGTACTTTTCAGCAATGATGCCGCTTGGCAATATTACAAATAGGAACTTACAAGGGAGGTCTCTCTGCTACAAGATATTGCTGCTAGTGTTTTAGATGTATGTTTGTAAACTATTAAGTTGGTGGCCACTTCGTGTGAAGTGAGGAGTAAAAATTTTTTGTAATAACAATATTTTAGAAACACCCCAAATGCCCATTAATAGGTGCTCAGTCAAAGGTTCGATCTTGTTGGCAATGGGGCAGTCAAATAGAAAATCAGCATTTTTGGACAGATAATTTAAGAGTGAAATAGAAAAGAATGACTAAGTTTAAGTTCACAAGACTTTTAATCTATTCTACTATACCTGTATTCAGAGCAGACACAAAATAAGCATAACTTCGCATGAGTGACCTAAAAATCTGAACACCATAGTTGGCATGTATTTCAAAGGTCTGAAACATAAGTTTAAGTATTAACCAAGTTCCATAAAATCCTTTAAATAAAGTCTAAGCCAACCAATATTTTTAGTACATAGGCTCAAGAACTGTAATAATGAGGACAGCCCAGGTGGCTCAGCGGTTTAGCGCCTGCCTTCAGCCCGGGGCATGATCCTGGAGTCCCGGGATCGAGTCCCACGTCGGGCTCCCTGCATGGAGCCTGCTTCTCCCTCTGCTTATGTCTCTGCCTCTCTCTCTCTTTCTCTGTTTCTCATGAATAAATAAATAAAATCTTAAAAAAAAAAAGAACTGTAATAATGAGAATTAATGTATCACTTTGGAGTTTACAAATGATTGTGAAGTTCTGATGATCCTAACAACCACATGAGATATGTAGAGCAGGTAAAATCACCTGCCAAAAGTTGAGAAGAAAGCTTTATCACTATACCTTCAAGGCAAAGTTTCAAAATTAAGGATACCGTTTTATCCTTTTTTTTTTGTAAAGATTTTACTTATTTATTCATGAGAGACAGAGAGAGAGAGAGAGAGAGAGGCAGAGATACAGGCAGAGGGAGAAGCAGGCTTCATGCAGGAAGCCCGATGTGGGACTTGATCCCAGGACCCCAAGATCATGCCCTGGGCCAAAGGCAGACTCTCAACCACTGAGCCATCCAGGTGTCCCAGTTTTATCCTTTCAAAAGAACAGAAGTTTAATTTCACTGGTTCTTCAAGCTACAAGGGAGTTCATGAATTTATTCCTCTCTTAATTTAAATTTGAGTTAAATCTGTAACTTTCAAAAAAGACACACAACTAGCCAAAAGAAGGCATAGTGGAAATCTTTGCAAAACCACATTTCATGCCATTTCCCTGTCTCCATCAAATCCCATAATGGAAAAACTTTATGTTCTAGTTTTCTGAGACAAATTCTAAAAATAAGCTAATGCATCACTGCACAACACATGCTTCAGGTAGATCCACAAATTGTTATAGATAATATAAAATTTTACCAAAGTAAAAGGATGTAATTCTGAATCAACTTGTCTCCGCACAGAAGCTCAATGGAGCTTCACAGGCATCTCCGAACCCTTGAGGGTTTACTCACCTCCAAAGGCACAATGACTGATGGTTTCTTTTTCAGCTCCTCACATTTTCTCTTCTTACAGATCTGATGGCTGTTCTTTCTGTTCTTGCAGTAAGTACATTCACCACAATTGGTCTTCTGCTGGCAGGGCTCACAGACCCCACATCGCTTTCGTTTCTTCTTTTCCAAAGTAGGTAGCAAAGTTGTGAAGGAAGAAGAGGGAGTACTGGCAAGTGACACTGGCCTAGACACCACTTTAGTGTTGATGTCAACCACACTGGTCACGCTGACCTGGGAGCTCTCTCCTTCCAGTGTGCTGGGACCAGCCTGGGAGAGTTGGGTAATGCCCTGTGAAGCATGGAGAAGGAGTCCTCGCTCAGGGGCTAATGTGATCCCCTGAATGTTAGCTGGCAGAAAGCTTATATGAACCTGCTTCTCATTTTCTATATTGCTAATAGTCATTATTGGAGGTACCGAACTTATCTCTGAGTTTGATGGTGGCTGAGGTGTGTGACCTGAGCCCAAAGGCAGAATCTGCACAGCACCCTGGACCTCAAGTCCATATGAAACAGTGCTCTGGGGCTCAGGCCATTCTGGGGGAACATTATAGGTAGCAATTGGGTTTAGAGGAGGAAGAAACATAGGTGGGTCTGAGGCAGTACCACCACCCATTCCAAGGATTTGTTGATCTAGGATAGCACCAAAGACCTCTCCTTGGACTGAAACAGCACCAGGCATCTCTGGTGGGTCTAGGGTCTCATCCAGAGCCTCTCCATGAATTATGTTAGCACCAGGAATTTCCCATCGATGTGGGACAGCACTAAAAGCCTGTCCTATGACAGGGTTGGTATCAGGAATTTCCTGCTGATCTGTGGTAGCTTTGAGTATCTCTCGATGATCTGGTTTAGCACCAAGGGTTTCTTGTTCTGAGCTTGCCAAGAGGAGTTTTATTAATGAGGTAGGATATATTGACCCATCAATGGACAAACAGTTTCTAAGGTCCAATTCAGGTATAATCTTATTAAAGCTGGAGGTGGGGTAGCAGTCATGTTCACTTTTGATAGGATCCGGGTAAGAATCAGATAGCTTAAGAGATTCCACTCGTGAACCCAAATCTTCTAACTGAATGCTAGAATTTCCTTCATAAGTAACCTTGAGAGCTGCTCTTTGGAGCAAAGGAGCACACAGAGTGTCCTGAGCAAACATTCTGGGGGAATCACTGATATCATTCAATGTCTCTTTAGAGAATAATCCTTCACCACCACGTGTCCCTTCCGATGACCCAGAAAGGCTCTCTCCTGCAGGACCACTGTGAGTGGAGATATTTATTTTGGAATCGTCGACCCTTTGGGACCAAGACTGGGCTATTTCTTGGCTCTCATCTTTAATTAAAGATGCATTTTGTACACCAATTAGATTCTCTATTTCAGGAGTGATTAGGGGAACTTGCGTTGGAACTGAATCATTTTCTGCGTGTTTTACTCCCATGTCAGTAACCACATTATAATCACATTCATGTTGCTTTTCTAAATTCTTAGGAGGTGAAACTTTCTTGGGTTTGGCTATGATCACTGGAGGTTGGGAGAGTCGCCTGCTAAGAGAGGTGCTTCGGAGAGCCATTGTAAACCCATTGCAAGTTAAGGATTCTGGGTTCTGAAAAAGAACCTCAGTCCTATCCAAATTCATTCGTGCTGCTCCAGCTCTTGTTAGAAGGCTTCTGACTGGCATAGGTGGTTTGGGTTCAATTTTTTTCTTAACATCTCTTTCGTGAATTAATTGCTTTAATTTTCCAGGGCTCACAGTCTTGACTGATGCCACGTTTTTGTTGGCCGCCTTACATGTCTTCTTCAGTTGGGTGCTTTTCTTTCTGTTTAGATCTTCCCTCCTGACTAATCTGGAAGGCCTTGCATGGCGGGATCGAGACATAGCTACAGAGTAGGATAAAATGAAAGGGCACAAGGAACAGAGTCATTGGGCCTTTGGAAAGTCTCAGTTCTGAGGAGAATCTGGATGCACCATGGTTGAACTCAGTGGCACAGGATTTTGGTCTGAAATAACAAAAAAAAATCGGAAAATAAGTCTTTTTCCTGTGTATTCTCCCATTTGAAATGAAATATCTAATAACAATTATTAATCACAATTAGAGCACTGAGAATGTTTACTGCAAAAGAAAAATATGATAAACAAAAATAATAAAGTATCCTTTAAACCCTGGATTCACAAATTAAGCTGCTGTAATTACTGTGACAACGGATTTAGTTGATGAAGTTCTATGCATGGCATAAGCATGAGGGTTATTCTATATTAGAAACTACAACTGAAAAAAAAAAAAGAAACTACAACTGTTGTAGTTAACATGTAGTTTAAAGATCAAATCCCAATCTTTGCAAATTTGGATACTTAAAAAATTATCTCCTAATCTCTTTCCTCAGCACATCACCACAGAGGTAGAGGGGTCACGTGTTGGACAGTAAAGCTAGTAAAACTGGAGGAAGAAGAGGCTTATATAATTCAAGAAACTCTACTTGGGGATGTCTGGGTGGCTCAGTGGTTGAGCATCTCTCTTTGGCTCAGGGACATGATCCCAGGTCCAGGGATCGAGTCCCGCATTGGACTCCCTGTGAGGAGACTGCTTCCTTTCTCCTCCTAGGTCCCTGATTCTCTCTCTGTGTCTCTCGTGAATAAATAAATTTTAAAAATCTTTAAAAATAAGAAAAGAACCTCTACTTGGAGATCCAATAATATTAATACCACATTTCAATTAACAATCTACAAATTCTGAGCTTTACACACGCACACAAAAATAGCAATAAATCTGAGGAGTTAGTATTGATAGATTAGGTTACAAGTAAGACTCACAGGTCCAACAAATATCTGTTGAGTACCTACTATGTATAAGGAAGACATTGTGGTGGGCACTGCCCACACCCAGAAATGATGTCCCTCTTTTCTCTTTCACCCGACTTAATCCAAAGACTGCTGGTTCTAAAATCCCTTCTACCAAGGGTCTCAAAAGTCTCATGATGAATGCCTAGGCAAGGAAATTGGAAATAAAGAGAAAATGAGATAATTAGAACAGTAAAGCATACTAGGCAAGCAACTATTATTTGAAAAGTAAGCAAGAAAAAAGAAAATGAAAGGGAACTAAGAGCCATAATTAATGGTCTTTTGGTCTCCTCAGATTGCTTACTCTAACTCAGAATAAGACCAAACTATGAACAAGAATAAAGCTCACCATACACAACGTATCAATATATTCTCTAAAGATTACGGAATCAAGAGCGGTACAACTGAGTGGGTGAGTATTCTTTACCAGCGGACGGGTTGTTGGATTTGTAAGAAAGCATGGTGTAGTATAATAGTTACCGAAAACTGATCTGCAACCAAGTGATCAGCATTCTGTGGCAAAATCAGAAAAAAAAATAGTATCAAAAGTTTTTCATAAAGTTGAATTTATTCATGTAAACAACTCTTCATTACTCTGAAATTATGCCTTCCAGTTTTGTCTCGTTAAAATGTCCTTCCTTGGGGTGCCTGGGTGGCTTAGTAGGTTGAACAACCAGCTCTTGATTTCCGCTCCAGTCAGCTAAGTCATGATCTCAGTTCAGGGGATAGGGCCCCACTTCCGGCTCAGAGTTCAGGGGGAATCTTCTTGGGATTCTCTCTTCTCCCTCTGCCCCCTTGCCCCCCTCCTTACACTCACTCACTCTCTTTCTCTCTCAAGTAAATAAATAGGAGTGCCTGGGAGGCTGAGTTGTTAACTCAGTTCAGGTCATGGTTCCAGGGTCCTAGGGTCCTGGAATCAAGCTCCCCTTCCCCCAAAAACAGACTCCATAGTCAGCGGGGAGTCTGCTTCTTCCTTTCCCTCAGCCCTCCCTCTATTCCCCACTCATGCTCTCTCTCTCTTAAATAAATAAAATCTTTTTAAAGTAATAATTAAATAGGGGTGCCTGGGTGGCTCAGTCGGTTAAGCATCTACCTTCAGCTTGGGTCATGATCCCGGGGCCCTGGGAGGCCCTGGGATGAGCCCCACATCAAGCTCCCTGCTCAGTGGGGAGCCTGCTTCTCCCTCTTCCCCTGCTTGTGCTCTCTTGCTTTCTCTATCAAATAAATAAATACAAATCTTAAAAATAATAAATAAAACCTTTTTAAAAAGATGTTTATTTTTTTTAAAGATTTTATTTATTTATTCATGAGAGACGTAGAGAGAGAGAGGCAGAGACACAGACAGAGGGAGAAGTAGGGTCCATGAAGGGAGCCCGACGTGGGACTCGATCCCCGGTCTCCAGGATCATACCCTGGGCTGAAGGTGGCACTAAACCACTGAGCCACCGGGGCTGCCCAAAGATGTCATTTCTTAAAAAAAAGGTAGTAAAAGTCCTTTCTTTTGTAAAAAGGTAGGGATAGGTTTGTTTTATAATGTTATTACCTGGCAAAGTAAAAACTTGACAGATCTCTATCATTCTCAAATTGTGCATTTGTTTTTGTTGTACTGATCTGATCCAAGCAATCCTGGGACATACTGGTTGGTTTAGTAGCTAGAGATGTGTCCATCAGAAAGCTATGAGTTTGAATCTGTGATCACCAGCTATGTCCCTCCACAATCTATTTCACCTAGTCAAAGGTTCTGCATCTGAAATGAGGTTGTTTTGAGCTTTCATTGAGCTCCTACAGGGAAAGCCTAATGGCTTCCCAGTGATATCTGAGGTTGAGGGGGAGTGAGGGAAGGTAAATTAAGAAGGACTTTGGAAGTAGGCAGACTCAGGTTCAGCTTCCAGCTCAGAAACATTACTAGCCATGTGATTCTGATAAATTCCTTAGTCTCTCTATACTTCAGTCTCCTTATGTGTAATAGAATAGGAAGCATAATAGTACTGACCTCATTGGGTTACCATGAGAATAAAATGAAATGACATGTGTAAACACTTAGCAGAGGGCTGGCATAGAATAGGTTTTTAATAATAAATGGGAACATAAATAAATAAATAAATAAATGCCACTTATACTTCCAAAATACAAAGAATAATAAGAGAAAATTAGCTAGTTGGTGGGTATCATTATTATAGAACCAGTTTAACCCACAGTCTGCCATATCCTCCAAAACAAGATCTAGTTCTTTTGTTTCTGTTATCACCTAACACATTGTAAGCCACACACTATACAAAACGATCCCAGAACGCAACATTTAGTCAAAGCATTGTGCCTTTAAGACAGACTTTTTAAACAGACATTAGTGATAACATTAACCACGAGAAAAATAAGTTTGCTAAATCTGTGCTAAATACAAACACTAGACCAGAGAATACATCATTTGAGTTCTTGGCATCTAAGCTTACTGCTTTCCCTCTTTTCTTAAAAAAAGAAAAAAAAAAAGTTTCTGGCTTGCACTAACTTTTTGGCTGTGAAAAACTCTAGGATATTTTCTCCCAAGACCACTGCTCTTTGTACCAGTATTTTTAGAAAACAAAAGACATTCCAATTCTAATCTCCAGAAAGTCTTTATAAGGATTTTTTTTTCAGATAGCAAAAAGCAATCCTTTCCATTGTTTAAAAATTCAACAATATCAGTATAAGCTTGCTTTATCTCTTGTATCAAGATTACATTGCTAAAAAATTATTAGGAGCATATATAATCTAGGTATTGCAATCAGCCACGAAAATTAAAATTCACATATGTAGGCAAGTAATCTGGAAATGCCAGAAGGTGTCATGGGATCTGCCTTTGAAAGTAGTTTATAAATTGATCTCTGTCTCATATATTCTTTTATATTTTTAAATTAAAGTGCTTCAGAAATTCAGACTTGTAATTAAGATAATGTTTACCATTCAAACCTTATCTCCTGAAAAAGAGCCTGCCAAGGAAATAGAAAAGGTATGAGCAACATGGATTGGGAAGATGTGGCCTCTTTAAATGGTAACAGCCTTTTTATGAGATCGTGAAAGAGGCCAATGACCCCTGAAAAACCCAACTGCAGGGGAGAAACCACTGGGTACCACCCAGCCAAAGAAACAGACAATCAGAAACAAAATAAGGGCTCCCACAAGATCCTAATTTTATCACCCTTGGCTCCACTGATGAAATGTGACTTTCTTTTGTGATAAACTAAGTTATCCCCAGGGCTGAACTCTGGGAAGAGAGGCAGCAAGCTTTTTTTGAAATTTGTGGGAAACAAAAACAATGTAGTTCATTCTATTAAATAGGCCCATATTTAAATATGGAATTATCCTCACAGATCTCCTGGTATTTATTTTTCTTATTAATCTGTAAACATTATAAAATGCTCCATTTCCCTCTTTTTTACTTTTATTTATTATAGAGTACTTAAGTCATACAAAAAGATATATTTACAATTGAAAATTAATTCCACTTCCATTTTCATTTCTGATGAATATTGCCATTTCAATATTTCTCAAAATCAGTTTTATTCTACCCTAGAATATATTCAAGAGTCTGAGTGCTATATAGATAGCTATAGGACAACATGCTCAGAGCAGAAAATAAGAGAATAGTGTTCCTGTTATTAAACATATATCACAGGCTCTAATTATCTGCAATTAATTGATATTATTTTGTGGGTTACTTTCCTGGAAGAAAAAACAAAATGAAAGAAGCAAACAAAAATCCAACCATTGTGGGATGCAAAATCATTAGTCAACAAGTCTTTTCACCAGAGGACATCGAAAATAAAATTATGTGTCCTAAAGTGTCCTTGTGACACAGAGTATGAAATACAAACATTATAGGCCAGGAGATAAGAGGCCAACATATAATTCAAAACACAAAAAGACATGATGCCAGCCTAAAGTAAAGAATATAAAGCTAAAGACGGAGGGCGGAGGGCAGAAGTGGCAGGAGCAGGCCCCAGGGTGAATATGATAAGCACTGCCTCTGTAAGGATCTGCTAATTATTCACAAGTTATTTAAACTTGCCAAACCAAATTGGTCAACAAAGAGGATTGGTATCTTTGTCAATATATTTAAGCCTACTAGGTATTCAATCTTTCCCAGCGGGCTTTATAAATAATTATTGAAGTCACCCCCTTGCCTAGAAAATAAAAACTGACTTTCTAAACTGTATCAGTTGTCTGTAAAGGACAATGTTGACAGCACCACGTCAGAAAATCCTCTCCCACCTACATCCCTCCTCCTTCTGGATCTCCCAAAGTCCCCTGGGCAGGAAGTGGCTGAACTGATGTAACCATACAGCCCGCATGTCAATTTAAAATTATATTGCAACCCTTCCCACCACCAGCAGTGGCCAAAAAAGTGGGGAGTATTCTCATCCATAGGGCTAGAGGAAAAAGAAGCTGATTTCATGGTCACTCCATTCAGCTCTTTAGAATTTAAAGGCTACTGCACTTGGCTGAGAAATACAAGACTTAAAACCTTTCTTTTAAAAGGCACCACCTGACTTAGTTTCCTCCAGCCACTAGTAAGTTCTACATCTAAAGGAAGAGGAGGTGGGTGGGCTGCTTGCAGTTCCTAGATAGTCTTCTACCACAGGAAGTGTGAGAGAGAGCCCTCCGCACAAGGAAAGGCTGTTCGGGAAAACTCACTAGAATGCCAGCAGATTTAGTCAAAGGCTCCTTCCATATGTAAAACACCCCTGCTGCCCTGCAGAGAGCAAGGGGAAAAAAAAAAGACCTAAGAGGGCCACAGAAAAAGGAAGGGAGAAGTTAAAATGGAGCTAGAATGACTCTTCCAAAAAGAAAAACATAAAATATGTTGAGAATAATAAAAAGCCTAAGGAAGAAAATGTCTAAAGGGGAGAAATGGAGCAAAAGACAGAGTAAGGGGAAGAAATTTATAGTAATAAAGGTAGAATATAAGAAAGATAACTGGGATCAAAATGCTTAAGACTAAAGGTAGAAAGGGAGGGGTTAAGTGTGCAGGGACAGATAGATGCAGAGAGAGAGTGGGGGAGGGGATGAACAAACCAGATAAAGAAGATTGGAGGGGGCAAGAGAAACAAAGAACAGGAACAGTGGTGATCCAAACCTCCAACCCATCAGTTCTGGAAAACCAGAGCTGAGTGTGATAGTTAACTCTCATTAAAATGGTAAATGGTGGTTGAAGAGTTGTAAATCTGGGCTAGGAGTCTTTGCAAAGAAAAAGGGAGAATATGTGCTAATGACTCCTCTAGATCTTGATTCTGAAGTTTAGCTGAGGCTTACGAGCAACCTATTTAAGTTCCCTTAATTGGGGGGGGGGAGGTTTTAACTAGTGTAACCTAAAACTTATGAAAATCAGGAAACACACCCAAAGCCACAGTACTGAAATCTTTTAGTTCTTGTAAACTATGCGGACTAACCTCCAAACGTCTCCTTATCTAGGTACCTACCTGCGTTTACCGTAACTGTAGTTTAACTGTAGTCATAGATTCCTGATACTCAGTAAATTACTCTTGCCCTAACTGGTTAACAAGCAAATACGTACATACACACATACATACGTGTGTGGTGTTCGGCATCCCGAGGCCTAAAGAAGCCGTCGTCTATATTTCACTAAATCCACTTTACTAAATATTGTTCAGAGGTGGAGAAGGGCAAGTGAGCACACTTCGGTTCAGGGCCGACCCGAGGCTGCTGCCCCACAGCGCCGCCCTGCAACCCATCCCGGTGCGGCGCGCAGCGCACCCCGCCGACACTGGACGGTGCACCTTATCTTTAACTCGCTTCGAGTATTTCTTCATGAGCTGCCCATCACCATGTGTTGCGCAGCCCATTTGGTGCCGGAGAGTGGAACCGGGGAGGAGAAGTGTGGCACCGGAGTGACCAGGGCGAACCAGTGAACTGGGGAAGAGGACGAGTTGGAGGCGGGGGTAAGTCTCCTAGTTCCTGCAAAGTTTGTTCTCTTGGCAATACATTCATTTTTATCGGGCCAGAAATGCGCCATTTGGGTTCCCGGTTCAAGTGGAAAGACTCCTGGGGCTGGCCGGCAACTTCCCGACCGCTTTGTGCAACTGTATGGACTGAATACGAGCCCTTCCCGAAGCTCGGTCAGTTGGGGGTGCGGGTGAGAGGGAGGGAGGAAGGAGGAGAGAGGCGAGGAGAGGCGAGGAGAGGGGCCGAGATCTGGCCCCTGCCCCCCCCCCCCGCGCGGGAAGCGCCTGCGGCCCCGGCCCCGGGCTCCCGCCGGACTCCCGCCCCCGCGCGGTCCGCAGCCCCGGGCGGCGCGCACCTCCCAGCCCCGGGCCGGCTCCCGGAGCCCGCGGGTAGGGCCGACGCGGCCCCAACGCCAGCGCTCTCGGCGACCTTGCTGGCGCTCACAAGAGGTTTTAAAAGGCCATTTGACAGAACACGAGTTCTACGCCCTGTTCCCTTCTTCCCGGATCGGTGTAACTCCGGGTCACCTCGGGTCAGACTCTCCCGCTACCTCCATTCTCAAGTCTCATCCTTGGAGTCCCCTCCCCGAAGTGCTCAGGGAGGGAAGTGCCAAACGTTTCCCAGCGAGTCCGTCCCCTACCCGAGCACGGGGGAGGGAGAAAACCCGCCTCGGGGTGCGCTGGGTGCCGCGGCAGGACGCGCGCCGCACCCGCACGGTGCCCTCCCCGCTGCTTCTCCTCCTGAGGCCGCGGACCTCCAACTCTCCCGGGCGGCGCGGGGCGGCCGGCACCTCCAGGGACCCCGAAGGCGCGCTCGCCCTCCCCCCGCCCGGGCTGCCGCGGCGCTCAGGGTCCGAGCCCTCGGCACCCCCGCCCCCGCCCCCCATCCCGCGCTGGAACTGGGCCTCCCGGGCAGGCGGCCGCGTCCTCCGGCCGGGGGCATTGTTTACCACCCGCAACAAAAGCTCCCCGAGCGGCTAGGGGCAGGGGTCGCCGCGGGGAGTGGGCCCACCCCTGCGCCCCCCGAGGGCCCGCGGACGCCCAGCTCCGGCCCTCACCCGGCCCCGGCCGAGGCCCGCCCCTCGCACCCCCTTCCGGCCTCGGCGTGAGGGTCCCCGCACCCCTGCCCTCTGCCCCGGCCCCACTCGCCGCTGGCCGGCTCAGGCTCGGAGGGCAGCGCGCGTGCCCCCGGTCCAAGCCCGCACCGGCCCTCGAGCAAACTTTCCACCTCGCGCGGGACCCCACAACTTGGGAGCCCAGGGCCCCGGCGGGCGCGAGGAGCGTGAGTGGGCCCCGGGCGGACACCTACCCGCGGCCTGGCAGGGTCAGGGCCCGAGCCCCCGGGGTGGGCGGCAGCTTCCCAAAGGTCCGCAGAGGAGAGGCAGGTAGAGTTGCATGACTGGGGCGGGGCAGGGGGTTGTCCCAGGGGGCAGACCCGGGAGCGGAGGGCCCGGCGGCTGCGCGCACAAAGCGGTGCGGGAGCGGATCGCGCCGCCACTCCCCGCCAGGTCAGCCCCCCGGAGCAGTAGGGTCTCCCCAGGACGGACCTCAGGGAGTGAAGCAGGGGCTCTCTCTGCCTTTGCTGGACCCTGCACCACTGAGCTAGAGTCAAAACGCGCGCTGGATTTACCCAAACTGGAGCTGGACTCCCCTCTCGACCCTTACCCCTCCCCTTCACCCTCCTGTCTCATAACACCTTTTTTTTTTTTTCTTTTTTTAAGGTCAAAGAATATCGGACAGGAAAAGAAGTGTCAAGGTTTTCTTGTCATTGTCTTTTTTTTTTTTCTGAAGGGTTCTTGGGCTGCGAGGCAGATTTTAGGATTTCTAAATTCAATGTTTGTTTATAGATAGATCAAGGGAATGCCAGATCAGAGATGACACAATTGAGCAATGTCTGGGTTGCAGATGATGGTAAACTGCCCTTAACACCAAAGAGCAACGGGAGGAGGGTTGTGTTCCCTTGACTCTACACTTGATGTCGGAAAAGGTCGTCGGAACATTTTTCTGAGCTATTTGACCCTGTATGTTGAGGGTGGTCATATTCACTTTACGGATGAAGCAATGAAGGCACCAGAAGAAGTAAGTTTTTAACATGAGAAGGAATAACCAGTGGCTTTATGCCAAATTAAGACTGAGTGGGACATTGGAATTTCTCCCTAAATGTTTGATGGCTATTGCTTCTTCTAGCAGTTAGTCATTACACAGATGAGGGAAATCGGATCTTTCATGGGCTCACAGTTGTAAGGAAAATGGTGTTCATGAAACTATCATTCCACCCAGGTTAAAACTTCAGCTGGAGAGAAAGACTCATTCCCATCATTACCTTGAACATGGTAATTTTTATTTTTTTGCACATAATTTTTATTGTTTTGTGTACTTGTTTTAATAAGCATGACCAGATTGTTGGTTTTTTTTTTTTTTAATATTTTATTTGTGTATTCATGAAGGCAGAGAGAGGCAGAGGGAGAAGCAGGCTCCCTGTGGGGAGACTGATGCGGGACTCCATCCTAGGACCTCTGGATCATGACCTGAGCCAAAGGCAGATAGATGCTCAACCACTGAACCACCCATATGCCCCACCAGATTGTTTTTGAGACAGATTCCTAAATTTTCAACCTTTCTCACTGATTGATTCATTCAAATTTATTCCTGAGCTAGGGTATAGATAGATACACAGAGATGAATAAAATTCACCTCTTAAATAGCAGAAACACAAATCCTGGTTTGGCAAACAGAATAAACTAATAACTGCACTACAGTGTTTTCAGTGCTACAGTCAGATAAATACCTTAGTTGGAGAAAGTAAAAAAAATGTGGCATTAGAGATAAATCTTATCTACAATAATGGACTTTTCTCAATGTTTCCAAAGCCTAATTATTAATACCTTTTCAGAAACAATGTCCTAGGACCTAGGTGAAAAGAACGTTGGGAGAGTTTGACTCATAACATGAGCTCCATAAAAAAAAAAAAAAAAGAGAGAGGCACCTGGGTGGCTCAGTGGTTGAGCATCTGCCTTTGGCTCAGGGTCCTGGGATTTGGCTCAGAGTCCTGGGATTGAGTCCACATCGGCTACCTGCATGGAGCCTGCTTCTCCCTCTGCCTGTGTCTTTACCTCTCTCTCTCTGTCTCTCATGAATAAATAAATAAAATCTTAAAAAAAAAAGTATCTGCCTTAGGCTCAGGTCATAATCCCAGAGTCCAAGGATTGAGCCCCACATCAGGGGAGCCCCATATCAGGCCCCCTGCTCAGCAGGGAGTCTGCTTCTCTCTCTGCCTCTCACCCCACTTGTGCTCTCTCCCTTGCTCTCTTTCTCTTCTCAAATAAATAATTAAAATATTTTTTAATTAAAATCTTTAAAAAAAAACATTGAAAGAAGAACAAAGGGGAAAAGATTATCATGAAATAGCAAAATCTTGGCATTTGTCAGTTAACTGAAATGGTTAACTTTTAAAAGTATTGAAATAGAAAAATCACACAAAGATGCAGAAAAATGTCCATGGTGGGCAGCCTGGGTGGCTCAGCGGTTTAGCGCCGCCTTCAGCCTGGGGTGTGGTCCTGGAGACCCAGGATTGAGTCCCATGTCGGGCTCCCTGCATGGAGCCTGCTGCTCCCTCTGCCTATGTCTCTGCCTCTGTCTCTCTCTCTCTCTCTCTCTGTGTGTGTGTGTGTGTGTGTGTCTCATTAATAAATAAATAAAATCATTAAAAAAAAGAAAAATGTCCATGGTAACACTCATTCTCTTCATTCCATAAATGTAGTTGAATCCATACTATGTGCCAGGCACAGTTCTAAACTTTGGGAAAATAGTAGTATCAAAATGAAACCTCTGCCCTTGTGGAGCTTGCATTCCATACTGGAGTGGGGGTGGGGCTGAAAATAAAGAAAGCAAATAAGCAGAACATATATAGCTTGTCATATGGAGATAGTTAATGGGAGGGGGAGAAAAACAGGAAGGGGACAGGAAGTGCTGGGGAAAGTTGCGATTTTAAATATGACAATGAGCTCATTGACTAGACCTGAAAAAGATGAGGGAGGGGGCTGGGGAAGATTTTACATGTAGGAGAAAGCAAGTGCAAAGGCCCTGAAGGTTAGATTGTGTTTGTGGCAACACAATAATTTCAATGAGTTTCACAACAGTAAAACTTAGGAAACGCTATATAAAAGTATAGCTCCCTCCCATTGGCCAAGTCTGGGGCAATTTTAAGTTTGGAAAAGAGATTTCATTTGGAAAAACAAACTTGAAAATCATCAGCATGTAGATGATATTTATTATTATTATTTTATTTATTTACCCAATATAGGGCTTAAACTGACAGATCAAGAGTCCCATACTTAACCAACTGAGCCACCCAGACACCTCAGCATGTACGTGATATTTACATCCACTTTGGTATCTGAGTCTTAAACATCTCACCAAACATCATCAGGTCCATGTGAGGCTATTAGAAAAGGGGTCTGATATTTATAACAGAAACTAAAAGGTTGAACTAATCAATAACATGAAGTGTCTACCCAAGGAGAAGAAAAGAAAGTGAAATTCTTTCCAGAACTCAATATCAAAGAATAAATGTTTAAGCAGTTTCCCACTATCCTTACAACTACTTGCTTCATTCTTCCTTAATAGCAAAGCAAGAATTCCTGTCTTATTCCAATCACTTCTCTAGAAAAGAGATGTATTTACACATATGTGAGTTTACATATGTAAAACTGTGCCTATCTAACTTCTAAAGATATAACGAATTTTATCTTAGCTGCCCTGCTTCATAATTTACCTTAGGCAGTGCCCTAGGAAAAAATATATATACTTTCCTCAAATGCACATACACAGACACATGTGCATCCACACATAGTTTCTTTCCTATAGAATATAATCTCAAATTGGCAAAATTTTTTAAAATTTGGCAATACTGGAAAAAGTCTCTTCAACAAATAGTGTTGGGATGGGATGCCTGGGTGGCTGGGTTGAATGCCTGCCTTGGGCCTAGGGAGTGATCCTAGAGTCCCGGGATCAAGTCCCACATTAGGCTCCCTGCATGGAGTCTGCTTCTCTCTCTATGTCTCTGCCTCTCTCTCTGTGTGTCTTCATGAATAAATAAATAAATAATCTTTGAAAAAAATGGTGTTGGGAAAACTGGACAGCAACATGCAAAAGAATGAAACTGGACCACTTTCTTACAACATATACAAAAATGAACTCGGAATGAATTAAGGACTTAAATGTGAGACCCGAAACCATAAAAGAAGAGCGCTCAGGCAGTAATTTCTCTGACATTGGCTGTACCAATCTTTTTTTTTTTTTTTTTTTTTTCGGATATGTCTCCAGTGGCAAGAGAAACAAAAGCAAAAGGAAACTATTGGGACTACATGAAAATAAAAAGCTTCTGTAGTGCCAGGCTGGCTCAGTCGGTAAAGCATGTAACTCTTGATCTCAGGGTCACGAGTTAAACCCCATATTGGGTATGTATCCTACTTTAAAAAATTAATAAATAGGGCAGCCCGAGTGACTCAGCGGTTTAGACCCAGGATGGAGTCCCATGTTGGGCTCCCTGCATGGAGCCTGCTTCCTCCTCTGCCTGTGTGTCTCTGCCTCTCTCTCTCTCTCTGTCTCTCATAAATGAATAAATAAAATATTTTTTAAAATTAATAAATAAAAATATTTTTAAAGATCATCAACAATGGTTGGCTCAGTGGTTGAGAGCCTGAGTGGCTCAGTGGTTGAGAGCCTGCCTTTGGCTAGGTCGTGATCCCGAGGTCCTGGGAGCCAGTCCCCAGCATCAGGCTCCATGTGGGGAGCCTGCTTCTCCCTCTGCCTATGTCTCTGCCTTGCTCTGTGCCTCTCATGAATAAATAAATAATTTTTAAAATAAGTAAATAAATAAATATAATCAACAAAACTAAAAGGCAACCTACTAAATGGGGAAAATATTTGTAGATGACATATCAAATAAAGGGTTAGTATCCAAAATATATAAAGAACTGATATGGGATGCCTGGGTGGCTCAGCAGTTGAGCATCTGCCTTTGACTCAGGGTGTCTGCCTTTGGCTCAGGGTGTGATCCCGCGGTCCCCAGATTGAGTCCCACATTGGGCTCCCTGCATGGAGCCTGTTTCTCCTTCTGCATATGTCTCTACCTCTCTCTCTGTGCCTGTCACGAATAAATAAATAAAATCTTAAAAAAAAAAAAAACAAAACTGATACAACTCAACACCAAAACCCAAAATAATAGTAAAAATATGGACAGAAGACATGAACACATATTTCTTTGGAGAATATGTGTTCTCCAAAGAAGATACACAGATAGGGACACCTGGATGGCTCAGCAGTTGAGCATCTGCCTTCAGCTCCAGGCATGATCCTGGGATCTGAGATCGAGTCCCACGTTGGGCTCTTTGCAGGAAGC